CACATGTCCTTTATCCATTTATCCACGGATGAACTCTTGGTTGCTTCCCTCTCATGGCTACTGTGATTAATGCTGCAGTGACTATGGGTGATCGTAGCTTATTTTCTTTCACCACTCTGGTTTCCCTGGTGTGTGTGTGAGTGGGGACAAACTGTAAACCTGTCAATCGGAGGTATCTCCAACCTACCAGCATCTTCCTTTAGGGACTCAGGGGACTCTGGGACCCTCTCTTACTTGGTCTGACTATGGAATAATATCAATTTGATTCTGATATCACAAAGTATCCTGGCCATCATCTCCATTTTATGGAGGGAAAACAAACTCATAGAAAGCAACAGGCCAGCAGTCACTCAGTTTGTGTGGGACAGACCTAGGTCCAGGCCTTCATGGTTCCAAAGTTTGGGACCCTTTCAACATTTACAACGCAGTGCTTTTTTTGATTTTACAATCTTTAGTAGTTATTTTTAGAATTGGATAGGCCTGAAATTCTGAAAATGCAATGAACATATTCATTGAACATATTCACACCAATGAACATATTCATTACTATTCTGTCTCCTGATGGCAACCCTCTGCTATGGTTTTTGGTCATTAAATGGTGACAACAGCTGAGAGTGACAGATAGGTGCCTTAGGATCTACCTTGATGACAACCCCAATATTGGTTGGCAGAGAAGCTGAGGGAAGTGGGCATATGTGTTCTTTAAGGAAACAAGCCTGTTTCTTTTCTTAGCAAACAGACAAATCTATGGATGTGGATGACTTCCAGGTAAGTAGGAGCCTTCCAGGGTGGCCCAGGGGCGGAAACACCCTCCTATCCCAGGGCCTTGCCTAGCCCAAAACTTTCAGGAATACCCTCTGGCACTGCTTTGGGAGGCCAAAGGAATTTCTTTTGAAAATTACTTAGAAACAGCCTTTGGGTAGACTTTTTTTTTTTTTTTATCTATAGACCTTTTAATTTTTCCCACTAAAAATGATGATAAAAAATCATAAAATGACTCAAAAGAAAATTTCAATGAGGGCCAATAGCAGTATTCTGGGGCAAATTTAGGGCTTTTGAGCTGTTTTCTTTATAGGAGCAGCACCCAGCTGGACGCCTTCCTCAAGCCCACCTGGAGGCGGCAGCTCCTGGGAGTTAGCGGCCCCTATCCACCTGCTCCCCGCTCCACCTGCCCTCCCAATAGTCTGCTTGATTTCCCTACAGAATTTTAGAGTGAATGAAAATAAGAAAGGGGGTATTCATGGGAATTCATGATATGAAATAAAAAGAGAAGGAGGCTTTTGAGATGAAGAAATGATTTGCCTTTTGCTCTGTGTGTTCGGATTCATTAAGCTGTATACTTGGATGTTGGCCCATCATAAGTGTGTATTTTAGTTCAATTTGAAATTATTTTTGCCTTTGAATATATGTATCTTGATATTCTAACTGTGGTAAAATTACATATAAAATAAAAATAAGAAACTTACATATAGAACTTACCACTTAACTCTTGTTAAATGTGCAGTTCATGTACAGAGTAACTATCAGCACCCTATATCTCTGGAACTTTTCCATTTTCCCAAACTGGAACTCTGTACCCCGTAGACACTAACTCCCCACTTTTCCCTTCCTCTCAATTCTCGGTGGCTTCCATTTTACTTTGTGTCTGTGGATTTGACCCCCCTAGGTGACTCATAGATATGAAATCATATACTATGTGTCCTTTTGTGACTAGTTTCTCAGCAATATCCTCAAGGTCCATTCATATTGTAGCATGTGTCAGAATTTTCTTTCTTTTAGAAGTGACACATTATTCCATTGAATGTTTACAACAGTTTTAAAATAAAGTGTAAAAATGTGTGGACATAAGAAAATTTGGGGCAGACTGATGATTATTCTACTTTATCTATACCAGGGCTCCTGTTTATTAAGCATTGCTATGGGTCAGGCACAGAAAGAAACTGTTTAAGTTCATTCTCATTTATTCCTGGCAACTTTGTTTTTCAGATGAGAAAATTTGCCTATAAAGTCAAAGAGATGAAATAACTTGCCCAAATCCCACAGCTGAAGAGGAGGGATGGAGAATTCAGCTCCTTGTCTAGGATCCGAGAGGTCCTGCCTGACTCGGGGTGGAATGGTCTATCATACAGGATAATTAGGATCCCCAGAGAGAGGATGCCTTTGAATGGAGGACCATGGTCATGATAAAGTCATATTCACACCTACATGTGCACCCAGCGATGTCACTCTATTTTTAGGCCATTTTGTTCTCCTTATCTGTACTTGATGCTGCATTGTACTATCTTTGGTTCCCTTGCAGCAGTTTGGCATGTGTGGGAAGTATAGGGTTCACTTCCTCTCTGCCTGTGCATGAAACACCTTCTTTCACTGCCCAGTAGTTACCCCTAAACCAACCCCAAGGAGGTCCTTCTTCCTCCCCTTTCCATCTTCCCCTTGTGTTTTGTTTTTGGACTGGAAATTGAACCCAGGGGTACTTAACAACTGAGCCATGTCCCCAGAACTTTTTTTTTTTTAATTTGAGGCAGGGTCTCTTTAAATTACTTAGAGTCTTGCTGAATTACTTAGGGCCTCACTAAGTTGCTGAGGCTAGCCTCAAATTTGTGATTTGCCTGCCTCAGCCTGCCAAGTTGCTGGGATTATAGGCATGTGCCACCATGTCTAGCTACCATCTTCTCCTTGGAGAAACCATCTAGACCTGTTACTCCTACAGGTAGAGCCTATATCACCACAACTCTTTTCACTCTGGTCTGTCTCATCTAGGTGTGATGTAGTGTTTGGACATTCGTCCTGAGCATTGTCACTAAGCCAAGCCACTCTGACCACTGAGATCTGACCAGGCCCACCAAGCAGGGCTTAGGGCTCACTGTTTAACTTACCACCACAAAGTGAAGTCTGCCTTTCCTAAGCTGTCCATTACAACTGTTTTTTTTTTCATTTCTTGTCTGAAATATGAGAAATACTACCAGTTTTTGTTTGGTGGAGCTGAGTTTCTGAGAACCTTCAAAGTAGTTAGCTGGTATTTTTTGGTTACTTTGTATCTCTGAATCAGTGCACACATAGCAAAAACAATGTTCAGTGGGAACTGTATTTCAATGATCAATATGGGAAATCAGACACATTTCAGGTATTTCCCATAGTGTCCTCAAGGCAAAGATATAGCTATACAAATATTTATAATTATATACAGAAAAACTTTCTCAGGTACCACGAACTCCTACTTTGCTAAAGAGACCTCTTACTCATAAGCCCCATAGAGCTCAGTAGTACCATGAGTGAAGGGGGACTTTAAGGATCAGAGAGAAGGTGAACTTTTTAATATTATTTCTTCAGATTAACACACTATAATAGTGATGCTAGAAGAACCCTTGGAAGATCCAAATTTCAAGTTGGTAACAGCCTGCAAAACCACAGAACAGTCATAGCAGCAATTTATTAAGCTTCTACAGGAAAAGGCTCCTTGTCCTAAGAAAATAAAAACTATTATTTTGAAAATCTTCTCAGGGAATCTATCAATAAAAACAGTTGACCAACTCCAGAACTAGAGATTTAAATTTACCCACTTTTTATTACTTATTTTAGAAAATGCTTATTTCAGTTACAAATTAATCTGGGAAAGACATGGTTATGGCACAAAAATCAAGTTTTAAGTATTAGTAAAGAGTTTTGTAAATATAGGAGCTAAGTTAATATTTGCACAACAAATATCTTCAGATATAATACTTTCTAAAAAACAGTTCACTGCTGTTAGTGCCATTTAAATCCCTAACTGGCCATGAAAAAGCCTTGTTATGACAGTTGATAATGTAAAGGGGAACAACAACAAAAAAAGCTTGAGGCTTTAGGATTCATAGAGTGAACAGACACAATGTAATGCAGAATTAAGAAGAGAAATAAATTCCCTTTTTTCTTCTGCAATGCTAGTGATGCAATCCAGGGCCGTACACATGCTAAGCAAGTGCTTTACCATTGAGCTACATTCCTAGCCTCCATTCCCTAATTCTGAATGTACATTATATTTAAAAGATATTTAAAATACCCTGAACTCATGGTAGGAATCTGTTGATCTCTGCAAAAAAACAGTAACCTTCTTAAATCATGCAATACTCACTACAAGTATTTATTATGGTAGAGATCAGTGTATTAATGTTATAAATATCAGAATGAAAAGGTCAATAAGAATTAAAAAAAAAAACTTCATTCAGTAATACTTAAAGTTTAAAGGAAGTGTTAGTAATCATCATCAGCATCAGCCCAAACTGAAAAAAGACCTAAACCCCATTATTTTATCATCATCATCATCATCATCATCATCATCATCATCATCATCACTGGGGATGGGCCTTGCACATGCTAGGCAAGTGTACCACCATTGAGCTATATCCTAGCCCACAGGTTATATTTAATAAAGAGATGCTCGAATTATATTCATAGTTCTTATTCTAGGTATTCTTATGTAAGAATCCTATGATTTATTCACTTAGTTATCCAGTAAAGACAGGGTATATCAGGAACATGCTGGCTTAGCCAGGCATGTCAGAACACTCCAGTACAGTAACTCCAGAGTCTGAGACAGAAGGATCACAAATTCGAGACCAGCTTTGGGCAACTTTGTCTCAAAATTAAAAACAAAAAGGGTTGGGGATATAGCTAATCTCCCATACTGCAAAAAAAATAGAAATAAAAATAATCAAAGAAATATGTTAGCTTGGTCTCCCCCCACCACCCCTTTTTCTTTTCTTTTGAAACTTAAACTATCTTTTTTTCTTTATCAATTTTTTGAGGAAAAAATACCAAGAATAATTCAGTATGATAATAATAGAGGGGCTGGGATTGTGGTTCAGTGGTAGAGCACTTGCCTAGCACATGTGAGGTTTGATCCTCAGCACCACATAAAAATAAATAAATAATATAAAGGTAAAAAAAGATAATAATATAAAACTTAGAAAGGAGAAAGTAATCATAGGAAATCTTTCAGAATTAAAAAAAATGGATTTGAGTCCTTTGACAATAGTGAGGTTTAACATTTTGTAACCACCATAGTTGTGCTTAGGGTTAACTGATGACTGTGCTTCTAAAAACAGGGATGTAAGGAGTAACTGTGTTGTAATACTGCAGATTAAAAATCATTTGTATGTAAATATGATAGGTATAGCATCTGAATTTTAAAATAAGTTTAGAAATTTTAGAGTTTTTCTATTAAATCAAAGGAAAATTAGTGTCAGTGAAATTTCCAAACTAGTATAGAAAAAAATGTCCAGAATCTTGGCCACAGGGAGAGGCAATTTCTATTTTTATTGCACATTTCAATGCTTAAAATGATTGGTTAAATAGAGAGCAATTCCACACTGTCAAGACTCACTAGGATCATGGATACTGTATTCTCAAATAAGAACACAATATAAGACACACTTTCATTTCTGTATAGGAATTGAAATTAGTACACTAACTTGAAAAAATATCATAGGCAATGTTCTACTGCAAAATTCCACTTCTTTACAAATTAGTGTTTTAAAGTAGGTGAATCTAATTTTACATCCTATCCATGAACTAATGGGCCAATTAGACTATGATCAATTAAACAATACTGGCATTTGCATGAACATATTGCAAACAGAATTCAGTTTCAAAATGTAAATAAACAGTTTGAGTTCTTACTCTCTTCTCCACTCCCACCTGAAATCAAACTGTGGATAAATAAGACACTTATTATTAACATTTTTATGGTAGAACTTTACTAAATAAGCATTTGCATCTACCCTGAGTCATACCTATGGTCTCTGATGACTGCAATTGCATTTTTTTTTTTTTTTGGTGTGTGTGTTGGAGGCAGTGCTGGGGATCAAACCCAGGGTCTTGTCAACCACCTAGTTACATCCCCAGCTGTATTACTGCATTTTCTAAAAGGAGCAAAGATTTTTATCAGAATGCTTTTCACATTAGGATTTTCTAGCAGCCCTTCACTCAGGATAGCTAAGTCCTGTTGCCCTAAAGCTAAGGTACTCACTGCAACGTGATGAGTTAGAACTTATGCATCTAGAATGGCCCTAGATATTCACCAGGCTAGGAGAATTGCGAAGAATGATTTAAATAATTTTCCAAAGGGCTGAGCTCTGCTTTCAGTATATATATGGAAATCTAGCATTTTCCAAACCTAGGCAATTAATTGTCCAGGGCATTCTAGGGCAATAAAAACACACTAATAAATCGTGTTGATTCCTATGCAAACGAGTTGCAAACATGAATCAGAGTGTTAAAAAAAAAATCATACTCTTTTCATCAGATTGTTAGTGGATCACCCTTTATGATATAAAACAAAGTATGTTGTAGAGTATGGCTTCACATGAATCACCAGGAAATTGGTTTATAAAAAGAAATGAATTATATGGAAAAATATATGAACTTCTGCTGAACAGGGCTAAAGATACTTGCTAACAATACTCAGTGGAAGTTGGAAGTGAAAAGTGTGAGTAGAGAAAGGCTCAAATGACCATTGCTCATCAGTTTATAAACATATTGTGATCAAGACTCTATAGCAGTGTGTGCCGTACAAAAATTCTGACATCTTCAAGCTGGGCCCACACACATAAATAGCTTCCCTGTCAGGACAGCTCTCGTATGGGTGGGAAATAAGATGTATACCCCACAATCAGCACACACTTTTACACAGGCAGTAAAACCCAGACACTTTTATTTAAACTTTAGAAAGCAAACAGGCTACCCACAAAGAATAGTTAGGAAACTCAAAATGTTTTATTTTGTACTGTTTTCTTTAAAAAAAAAAGTGTAGATCTTCATTGATTCATCTGTATAAATATTTTTCCTGGCAACAGTAGTTAACTTTTAACCTCCCATTCAAAAACTTCACAACTTCAAGTATTTGAAATGCACTTAAATTCCCCCCTGCTTTTTATTTTCTATATTACGTTCTCATCATGATTAACTGACTCTTGAAGTTGAAGAATTTCTTTTAAAAGGAAGTTCAAAAATCTTTACTAGTATGTACTAGGACAAATTAGCATTCTCTGTGTCAGTACCCATTTTAACAGTACTATTTTTCCTAAAAGATAGAAAGTGGGGGGAAAATAGGCATACTTGTTCCATCCAGAGCAAAGCACAAAATATCATTTAAAAAATAAATACCTAAGACATTCCTGCCACACTTCCATGTCCATTTCCTCAGCTGTTGAAAAATTTTCTCAAGTGGCGCTGCATCTCCACCTGCCTTCTACCAGCAACCTCTGTGGCTCTGTCTCACTGAATCTGACTCTGGAGGGTAACTGCTCTTTGTCACTTGTCATGAAGCTTGTAGTTTGATATCCTGGGCTTCACATCCAATTTCAGAAACTCAAATGACACTATATGGACTCACTCTAAATCTTTTTTTAGTGCAGTTTGGCAAATATCCCAAATGAAATTCAACTCTAAGTTAAAAGTATCAAGCAGAGATAGAGCTAAGTGTGTCTGTGACTTGCTGGGCTGCCCAAAGGCTCTGGTGAGGTTAGGAATAGAAAACCTAATTGTCCCTAGCTGAAGGGCTGCAGACACCTGTTGCTTTGTCACAACCGAACAGTTAACCACAGAGACAGCAGGAACCCAGAGGCCTAACAGCAACCAGGCTGCTGGGCTGCTGTGAATATCTTTAAAGGCCAACAACTGCCCTCAGCTTTGCCCCACCTCACAAACTCAGAAACGTTGGAATCATCTCCACTATAACTCAGGGTTAAGAACAGCAAGCATTAAACACGAACACCTGATAGATTCTGCTCCACATCTCCCTTCTGGGACTCCAGCGCGCTCTTATTTTCAGGCTCTTTCTACCTGCTGATTTGAACTTTGGCTTTGGTTTTGGTTTCTAGAAAAAAAAATGTATTATAAAGCTGTCTGGAGAGACCACCGCTAGATGGCCAAGTCACCTGGCCTGGCCCGCCCACTGCTGGCCTTGCTGGACCTTCCTGGGTCTGTAAGGAGCAAGGGAGGCTCATGCATCTCTGCTGTGGTGGTCAAGGCCTGCTCCTCTTCTTCGGGGGTCACAGCCAAGGCACTCTCTTCCAAGCTGCTGCCGCTCCGGTCCTCCAGCAGCTGGGGTGCGGTGCCCCCTTGCCCAGCCTCCGGTGGGAGCCGCTGGCTGTTGCTGCCTGCGGGGCTTGGGGCTGCGGGACTGGACGCTGCGGAGGAGGCTTTCCGCGCCGGAGTCTGATGCTCAGCCGCTTGGTTGGCCCAATTCTGCTCTGTCATCAGCAGGTGTTGGTTATTGTAGAGCTTGGCAGGGTGGCCCTTCCCTTGTGACTCATTCAATGCTACCATTTTGAAGTCTGCTGCTGGTGGCGGGGCTCCGGGGTACCCTGCTTCGCCGGCCTGTCCCAGGGGAGAGGCATAATGCGTGTACAAAGGTGGGAATCCAATAGTGACCGTGGGTGGGCGGGAAGCGAGTGGCAATGGCTCTGCGGCCACCAGCTTGGATTCGGAGGTGTCTGGGCCGAAATGATCAGTCACTCCTTGTTTGAATTTTTTCCAGCCCAAGTGGTAAATCTCCAGCATGTTGAGTACGAGAGAGGCACAGGCCACCGCTAGCATGAAGATGATGAAGATGGTCTTCTCGGTGGGTCTGGAGATGAAGCAATCCACCATGTTGGGGCAGGGCCACCGGTCACATCGGTAGAGCGGCTGCAGTTGGAAGCCATACAGAAAGTACTGCCCAGCGATGAAGCCCACCTCGAAGAGCGTCTTAAAGATGATGTTGAAGACGTAGGTCCGCAGCAGCGCCCCAGCGATGCGCACCTTGCCCCGGTCGTCACGCACCACAGTCTTATCCTGAGAGCCAGCCCCATCTAGAGACTCCTGACCCCGCTCCAGGTGCGGGTTTTCTCTCCTCAGCAGCTCCTCCTCCCTCTCTTTCTTCTTCTCTTCCATGCGCACAATGTGCAGTACGTGGCCCAGGTAGATGAGGGTGGGCGTGGACACGAAGATAATCTGCAGCACCCAGAAGCGGATGTGCGAGATGGGGAAGGCCCTGTCGTAGCACACGTTCTCGCAGCCAGGCTGCTGGGTGTTGCAGGTGAAGTCGGACTGCTCGTCACCCCACACCTCCTCCGCTGCGGCCCCCAGCACCAGGATTCTGAAGATGAACAGCACCGTCAGCCAAACCTTGCCGATGACCGTGGAGTGCTCCTGTGCGTTCTCTAGTAGTCGCCCCAGAAAGCTCCAGTCACCCATTGCTTCAGATGGCTAACCTGTAAGGGAACATGGCGCATTAATACGCGGGTTAGAGTAGTTGAGCTGCAGAGGTCAATCACCCCAGGGCAGTCACGATGAGTACTAGAATTGAGTCGTATCAGCTGTACTCCCACTTCCAAACACGGGTAGCGCTGGGGAACTCTCCTTAAGGATGTAGGTACACATGTGCATAGTCAGCTCTTCACATCCTTAGGTTCAACCAACCTCAGATGAAAAAATAATGGGGGTGGGTGGCGGGGGGGAAGGTAATTGCATCTGTCCTCAACAAGTACAAACTTCCATTCATTCATTTTTTTTTTTTTTTGGTACCTGGGATTGAACCCAGGGGCAATTAATCACTGAGCTACTTCCCCAGCCCTTTTTAATATTTTAACTACAGACAGGTTCTTGTTGAGTTACGTCTCTCTCTCTAAATTGCTGAGTCTGGCTTTGAACTGGAGATTCTCCTGCCTCAGCCGCTGGGATTATAGGCATGTGCCACTGTACCTGGCTGTCATTATTTCTTAATACAGTATAACAACCATTTCCACAGTATTTACACCACATCAGGTCTTCTAGAGATGGTTTAAGTATACAAAATGGAATGTGTAGATTCTATGCAATACTAAGCCATTTTATATAAGGGACATGAGTTTCTGTGGAAGATAGCATCCATAGGGGTCCTGGATTCAATGGACACTGAAGTACTGGATGTTATTTCCCTATTAACATGTGGAACAGAATTGAATTAATATCTACAGCACTGTGCAGTGGTCACAAGTAGTAACTGCTGGCATAAACAAGATAACCACGTGTTCCATTCCTTATTTCAGAGATGAGGAAAGGAACGCTAGAAAGAGAAATGATTCACCTGACCTTTAACTCCCCACATCTTCCTCCTCAGAAGCATGGTATCCCCACAGGAGCTCTGGACTCTACCTGCAACTCAGACCAGCTTCAAATTTTCACCTTTGTTTGTGTGAATTAGAGCAAAATTTTCCCAAATTGTTGTTATTCCCATGTCACCTTCAATAATGTGTCATGTACTGGTATTATAAGTCATGTGTCATATGTCACCTTGCCATATTAATCTACTACCACTCTTATTATTTACTTTTTTTCTTAATAGCAACTTTCTTTTTATGCTTAAATTTAGCTTAAATAGGAAACTCTACATCACTTCTCTAAAAGGAGGTACTGATACCATAAATGGAAGGTAGCTTTAAATACATTGTTGACAATTGTTTGCTCTAACTTCCCCTCACAAACAACCCCTGAGTATAAACTCTTTATTTATTTAAAGAGGGAGGTTAGAAGTATTAGAGGTGTGTTAAAGATACAAAGGGGATTGGTTCCAGGATCCTGAAAGATACCAAAATCTGTGGATGCTCAAGTTTTGTATATAAAATGGCACAGTTTTTGCACTGAACCTGTACTCATCCTCTTATATACCTTAAAACATATCTAGATGACTTATAATACCTAATAGGTGTAAATGCTATGTAAATAGTTGTTGTACTGTTTAGGGAGTAATAACAAGAAAAAAGTCTGTACATGTTCAGTATAGACCCATTTTTTTTCCCCCTGAAATATTTCTGATCCTTGATTGGTTGAATTCACAGATGTGAAGCGCTGACTGTACTATAATCAAACTGAGACCTTCAAGACCGCTGTTAGGATGAAAACAGAATTAAGGGATGGAGTTTCTCATATTTGATTCCATATCAATGAATACACCACCTAAAATCACCTCTCCTATTAAGTGTAATCTTTTTTTTTTCTATTTTCAATCTTTTTTTTTTAATTTTTTTTATTGGTTGTTCACAACATTACAAAGCTCTTGACATATCATACTTCAAACAATAGTTTCAAGTGAGTTATGAACTCCCATTTTTACCCCAAATACAGATTGCAGAATCACATAGGTTACACATTCACATTTTTACATAATGCCATACTAGTGACTGATGTATTCTGCTACCTTTTCTATCCTCTACTATCCCCCTCCCCCCCAACTTCTCTTTCTATCCCATCTACTGTAATTCATTTCTCTCCTTATTTTTCTTCCAATTCCCCTCACAACCTCTTTTATGTAGTTTTTTATAACAATGAGGGTCTCTTTCCATTTCCATGCAATTCCACTTTTCTCTCTCTTTCCCTCCCATCTCGTGCCTCTGTTTAATGTCAATCTTTTCTTCCTGCTCTTCCTCCCTACTCTATTCTTAGTTGCTCTCATTATATCAAAGAAGACATTTGGTATTTGTTTTTTAGGGATTGGCTAGCTTCACTGAGCATAATCTGCTCTAATGCCATCCATTTCCCTGCAAATTCCATGATTTTGTCATTTTTTAGTGCTGTGTAATACTCCATAGTGTATAAATGCCACTATGGAGTATTACACAGCACTAAAAGTGTAATCTTTGTGGTCCCTACAGAAACTCAAGTTAGACACTTGGGCAAAGATGGATGGAGTGGTGGCTGGGTGCCAGAGGAGGTACCAGGGATAACAGGTCGTGATGATCCTTCCAGGACCAGGGCTGCAGTCCTTCAGCAGGAAGTCACCCAATAGCACTAATAGGCATCCAATGTGTCCCTCGTGCTGTGCTGGGAACTAGGGAAACACCTCCAAATGCAGCCAAGGTGCTAGAATGGAGCCAAATAAACAGGGGAGAAGCCACTAGGCCTAGGTCTTCTGGGCTGGAAAGCCAAGGGTGCTGGGTAGGGCTCATAGGTGTGACTACACCTGAGGACAGGAGAGCTGCAGGCACACTCTAGACCCCCTCAGCAAGAGTTAAGTATGTGTCTGGGAGCAGGAGCTGCCTCTCTCTGAGCCTGCGGAAAATAGGTGACAGTCATGAAGGGAGGTAAGACATGGACTCTGTTTTAGAAGGCAGTAGCACTCTTCAGACACAGGGGATACAGATTAGGTGTCCCATGTCATTGCTGCTCAAATAGTCTGGGCATTGTGACTGGAACTAAAGAAGAGCTTCAGCGTTCTCAAAGCCACTCTTGGCAGTAAGGAAAGCCATTTCAGCTGTACGAGTACGCCTAGGTTGCCAATGGAACACATTTTAAATTTTAAAATGTTCACAATATTAATTTTTATGATTAGGATTGAAGGCAAATAAAACTTGCTAGAAATCTGATGAATACCTGTCTTTGAATACATTTTCAACTCTTTGCTTATTCAGTCGAGATCTTTAGAGAAATCTTACTCTTCATAGACTCTACAGTCTCCTTGTCCCATATTGTGACTGGTATAACTGGCATCTTCTTCTTCTTCTTCTTCTTCTTTTTTTAAAAAAATATATTTTTAGTTGTCAATGGACTTTATTTATTTATTTATATGTGGTGCTGAGAATCGAACCCACAACCCCATCACCTTAATTTAATTAAAAATGCAAAAGAGAAGGCTGACAATGACATAGACTTGTCTCACCATAAAAGGTGCTTTAGACAGGAACCTGAATGTCAAAGCAGGCCTCTTGATCACTTAATGATATCAAGATTTCTCTTTGTATATTTTCCTTAGTGATATCCACATGGGGTGATTTCAGTTAACAGAAAGTTGACTCTGCCAAGAGCCTGCTGATGTTTGGATTTCTACTGTGAGAGTTTTGTCTCTAGTTAAAAATGTAAATACGCCAGGATAAGTCTCAGTTTGATCCTGATAAATGGGTTTGGGACTATAAGATGGGTAGCTGCCACTGGATCAAGAATGATGACTATTAATGTATATGTGGTCATGGCAGTTAACACATGACTAATTTGAGAAAAATTAATATATTGTATAAATTCTATTCAATTCGTAACTGGTATCATTTTGCACATTCTTAGAAGGTGAAATGTTTTACTTCTGAAACTTAATTATTGTATACGAAACAACCCACTTTTGCCCATGAGGTATGTCAGGGAACCATTCTAGGTGACCTCCTGCTTCTCCTCCAAGCTACAATTCTCTTAATCAGTCCTCACAGGCATCCCTAGAAGGACAGTCACTCAGCGCCCTTAAGATGATCATGAAGGCTCCTTGCTGTGGTTTTTATGTGGTACCAAGTGTCCCCCCAAAGTACATGTGTTGGAATCTTGGTCCCCAGGATGGTGCTACTGGAAGGTCATGGTTCTTTTAAGGGGTGGAGCCTAGTGGGAAGTCCTCTGAAGGAGGATTGTGGGTCTCCCCCCTCTCTCTTCCTCCCCCCCCCCCGACTTCCTTTTAGCCATGTAAGATCCTCCTTTCACACAGATATCTTTTATTTGGTGAAAGAATCACCAGAATTGAGCTAATGCCAGTGCCATGTCCAAAACAGTGAGTTAAATTAACTACTTCATAAGTAGCCTGTGTCAGATCCTTCAATATGGTGACAAAAAGCTCACTAAGAAGCCCCCAGTGGTACCTCTGCCCTTAGCCCTTCTTTCTCCGCAGTCTGCTGAGCTCTTTTAACACATAGCCCTGAGCAAAGAACTGTCAAGTCTCTGACCAACACTGCATAGGACAAAACCCTGGTAGCATGCAAGACCCATCAGGACTGGCCACAGCCCTAGGCACATCAAACTCCTGCAACCTCTGAAACACCACAGTTATGGCTTCTGCACATGATGTTTCTCTAGCCATCCTCATCTAGAGCCCAGCCTGCTGAATTGTCCTGATTTCATATTCCCCTTAAAGGTGGCCAATGCAGACCTACACCACTGCCCTGGGCACTCTCTTCTCCTGACCATGCTCTCCTCTGTTTCAGGAAGTTCCCTCCATCTCCTACCCATTCAGGCTAACATCACAGGTGTCTCCTTTCTTTGCTGTCCAAGGATAGCAGGGTCTCTGGTCTCCAAAGATCCCTTGACTGCTGCAGGCTTGTCTTCCTTAACTCTGGTCCTGAGGGTGGAACTGGCTCATGCACACCTCCCTCTTGACATCTGCAGCCAAACTGGAAGATGTGCATTTCTGGAGGTGTGTGAGGAGAAGCCAGTGTGGGTATCTAATGCTTCCAGCCACCCTCAGATGCACAAGCAGTTTTGCACT